ACCAACAGAGATGTTGTCAGTCGTGTAAATGTGTGTTTGTGTGCGCAGTTGAGTACTGTTTTTTGTGAGACAATATTGTTACTCATGTAATTTTAAAAAACGTGAGGCAGTTTTAAGTGTTTCTCTAAAAGAGAACACATTCAAGTTATACTCTTTGCCAAAATAACTGTACGGAGAACAAAGTAAATAAACATGTTTCCCTAACAATCCATCTAAAGAGAAGCCCACATCAGATGATTTCAGAGAATTTATAAAATTCAGACATGACAAATTTAAGCATGGTGCTCTGGGTATTTTTATTCTTCCCTTCAGGATATTTCTTTCTTTAAATCTGCGGTGCTCAAGAAAAAATCTCTCTTTCCAGTCAAATTTCTCTTTGCTTAAATCAAGAACAAAACAGTGTTAAGACATTATTTATACAAATATTTGTTATCCATTTTTTAATTACTTTGACAAACATTATTTTTTTAAAACAATTAAATGGAATCGTAAAATATAAAGAAAAACAGAATTTTAATTTTCTCTTAAATTATCTCATTTTTCGGCTTATGTTCTAAAACAGGGTTTTGAGCAGGTCTGTATAAATATTCTGTATTTTTCAGGTTCTTCAAGTTCTTGTAGATTTATTTTAAGAAATTGAATTTTAACCAATCTAAAACGTTTACGAAAAAAAATAAAAAAGTGCCCGTTAACTTCTTAATTCATCAATATAAATAATTTTCAAACTATAAGCACAATTCATACGTATTTTGAACTATTTGGTTCTTGTGTGGGATCATTGTCAAAATGTAAATTTGGACAATACAATAGCCGTGATAAACAATGCAGCTTACGATCTTTTAGAGACGCGAGAAGATGAGACATACTTGTCTGTTAACTCCGCCACATATGACCAATTTTTTTAAAAGTAATAAATCGAACGGAGTTCAATTATTAGCACAATTATTTTAAAAATCGTAGGTCAAATGCGTAAATGAAAAATATCGGATACATTTTCTGATGCTTCCCTCACGAAGAGACACCATTTTGAATAGACATACAGGGTAAGATAAAATAAATCTGCAACAAAGTCAAACGCTATTATTTTTACATTTTTTTTTTTAATTTTAATGAATGAAAGCAAAAAATGTCGGAAATAGCATCAAATTTTAAAATAAGTTTAGATTTGTTCGAATTGTTCAACTTTAACACGAATTATGGCCCTCAAACGGCCAATGAAACCGTCACACGCAGCCCGAATGTTGCTCTGCTGTATTTTGACCCATTTCCGGCGAAGCGCTTGCTTGAGGTGATCGACACTTTGGTATTTTTTAGTGAAAACCTTGCTTTCCAAAATGCTCTAGACACAATAGTCCAACGGATTAATATCCGGAGATTTTGGTGGCAATTGTGCGATGGAAATGAAGCGAGGAACCTCATTTTGTAACCATTCTTGGGTGGCGCGTGCTAAGTGCGATGGTGCTGAGTCCTGTGTGTGGGTGCCCAAGTCTTTAACACACCCTCCAGAATATTTTCGCGAAAATATTCGGCATTTATTCTGATGCCACGGTCGATTAATACGACCGGAGAGCGACCATCGTCTGTTTGGCGGCCCACACCATCACCATGGCCGGTGCTTGAGTTCTGGTGACCAACCGAAGGCGCACATTTTCAGCTAACCTCTTTGGAAAGTAAACACGATTATCATTCATTTTGTTTGTTTACGAATTGCTGGAGAGCGAATGCTTTCTCATCGGAGAAAACCAAATTCGGCAGTTCACCACTTTCGGCCAACCGAAGCAACTCATTAGTTGTTTTGAGCCTATTTTCTTTTCTTTCTGCTGCGGTGTAATTTCTTGCACTCTTTGGAATTTCAATGGCTTTAACTCGAGCTAATTTTTCAATATTTGCCGAATGGAATATTGCGATACGTTCAGCTCACGAGCCATTTTTCGGCCACTTCGACGCAGGTTTCGTTCAAGTCGCTTCTCTACTTTTCGAACCATTTCTGCTGATGTTGCTGTTTTTTTCCGTGCACTTCCTTGACGTCCTGCCATATTGATAACGAGTGATGCTACGAGACACAAAAGATTTATTCATGTTTAAATGCTGAAGTGCTCTAACGATAGCCACTTGTGGTTTTCCAGCCAAATATAAAAAAATCACACTATCACGCTTGAATTCCATTACGAATAAGATTTTTTTCTGGAAAATTCTCACCAAAATGCTTTTGTACGCTTGTAAATAATATAATGATCTGTCACTGGAATAATTGAAACAGCTGTCGGACGAGTGGCTTAGAAATGGTTGCAGGTTGCTGTTTTTTCATCTTACCCTGTAAGCCGCATAAAATTTGTATCTTCATTGCGATTTCTCGATATATTGCCCATCCTTATATTTGCATCGAAATCAGAAAATGTAGTGGATATATGAGTTTACTCTTTTGGTACCTGCCAGAAATGTCTAATTTGTTTTAATTCCACATAAATCGAAAGAATTTGTACTTATATTGCTCTTAATAATATACAGCAATGACAATAGTAATATATTGTTACTATTTTATTATTATTATATTTTGCAGAAAAGTTTGACTTATTGACCGATTTAGTACCTTAGTTGCAAATTAGGCGTATGATTAATAATTAAATTTTTGGTCAAGTATACGCTCTCAGGATAAATTGTTCTTATATCCTATTCTTCCTTTACCGTTTAAGGAACATTGTTCCATCAGAGCATAAAAAGCATTTTGAAGCACATCACCCAGTTGTGGCATTTTCCACACTACCGTCGACATTAAATATTCCGTTTAGCTATTTCTCCCAAGTAATTCCAACTAATTCTCTTAGAGCCGTTCTCTTTACCATTTAACTCACAACGGTTTGTTTTTGCCTTCTTCTCTTTTCCACCATTAAATTCAACTGAGCAATTGTGTCTCACTTACTCTGTACTCTACGTTCACGTTTACGTGAGCACAACTATTTACCTCTCAAAACACTACGTATCTCTTGCAATTGATCTTCTCACACAAAAACAACAACAACAGCGACAACAACCAAACAAGCGCACAACGACGATAAACAAAAGCATGCTACAAATACATGTTGGGCGGAAGATACTCCACCCAATTTCGGATGCAAAAAAGTAACAACTTTTAAATGGAATGCCAGCCAGCCAGCCAGTCAACCAGCCAGCTACGTAGCTAGCAGGCAACCATCAAAACGTGCTCCAGCCACCTCTGTTGTCTTTGGCTGCTGTGACGCAGATGTGGCAGCAGACAACAGTCGAGCAGAGAGTTCGCCCCATAGTTGGCTGTTGGAGCAGCCAGCCGACCAGCCAGCCAAACTGAATTACGACGACGAGACTACAAAAACAGTTAACTGAATAACTGAACATTCATGACTTTGGCTATGTGCTGTGTGGTGTGTTCCTCGTGGGGTCTTGTTGTTGTTATTGTTGGTTGGCTGATCGGTTTTGTTTGGTTCATTCATTCATTGACTAACTGCTGATGATGGTTTTGGGGATTTGTTTGTGGGGTAGCTGGCGATGGCTGGTAGGAAGGATGGAAGGAAGGAAGGCAACCAAAAGGGAGTAGTGGCTGGCTGGCTGACTGGCTGGCGCGCACAAATGTTTTGGGTGATTTCGATGATCTTTTTTTCGTTGTGTGCCAGCAAAAAGGATGGCTGGCTGGCTGGCTGGTTGACTGGTTGGCGGCTTGTAAGCTTCTGCCTCGGCTGGTAGAGCTTCTTAAGCGTTGGCGTAGCCATTGGCAGAGGCAGTACGTAGTATTAGAAGTTGTGTGGTGGTTGTTATTATTTTGTAATGATGCTGTGTTGCTGGAGATAGATGGATGGTTGGATGGTTGGTTGGCGGGCGGTTTTGGTTGCGCTTGATTTGAATTGCTTGTAATTGTAACAGTTTTATATGTAAGTCGTCTGCTTGTGCTACACCTTTCCGCTCTCGTTGCAAACGATGATGATGGTGGTGGTGGATGGATGGATGTTGGAGCCGTGTTCGTTTGTTCGTTCACTCGTCGTTGTCTTCTTCAATTCTGTTCGCTTCGAATATTGTGGCTGCGGCTAACTTCTGACTTGAGATGAATAGAAGAAGGTTTATTTTTCGTCGCTTGTAAGCCATGATTGCGAGCGCGGCTGGTCTTTGACGTTGGCTGCTCTGCCATGACTGTGTAGGTAGGTAGGTCGGCTGCTTGGTCGATCGCTTTGTGTGTGCTGCAGCGCGCTCTATGTAGCTCCTCAACTGATATTCACTTCATAGTTGATCTCGTTCGGCATTGTCGTCGTTGTTGTTGTTGCTTTTGTTGGGATGTGTGCTGAGTCTGTTTTAGTTTTTTTTTTTTTGTTGTGTTTTTGTTCCAGTGAGTTTTGTATTTTGTTTGGGGTAAAGCTGAAGCGTTAAGATTGTTATGAATTCAGTACTTCATCACGTACCTGTAGAGAATGGTCGTCATTACGGGTTAATCCAGTTGTTACACATTTTTGTTGAACTTAGAAACCGAAAACTGTGGAAAAGCTCTGCGCTTTGTTGCATTTGCATTGGAGTGATGAGTGTGGTCGAGTGCGCATCGAGTGAATGAATGAGCGTGGTGCAGGAAAATTTGCAAGTGGTCAAAATAAAATCAAAACAAAAAACTGTAACAAATGCCAAACCCGATTCTAGGTGGAAAACGAAAGAAAATATTAAATATTAAAAAAAAAATAATTAAAGCTTAAAGAGCGCCTTTCTTCCACCCTCTTTCCGGCTGCTGTAACAACAAACGAGAGTGAGCGTAAATACGTTCGTGTGTGACGGACGGACGAACGAACGGGTGGAGCAAATGATGATCGTGACAAAAATAAAGCGAGCACATTTAGTCAGTCTATCATTTCGCGTTTCATAAAGAGGATATTTAAAACGGATAAAGTCAAGAAAATTCCAATACGAAAAAAGAAGTAAAAAATAATCGAACAAAAGAAAAGGAAAGTGAATTTCTGTGGAGGACAGTTAATTAAAATTTGCAATAATTAAAAAATTCTAGAGAATAAAATAATTCTCTTTTGTGGTGCTCTCAAACTCTTACCAACAAGTGTAAAAAATTAAAAAAGTAAATCTGCCACAACAAAATAGTTCCCATGCATCTGAACCGGACCAACGGATATGCATAATAAACGCAAGAAACCCAATAAAGATTGCCGCCCATAAATAACGGTTACCCAAGTGTGTGTGTGTGTGTCCGAGTGTAACTTCCAACTTCCGGAAAAATATGTTTGTGACTACTACAGTATCTGCACTTAACAAACACATCCCAAGGATGCCCCTCTTAAGCTAATGAAAACTCCCCGCAACCCCCAACAACCCATCAGCCCCATAAAAGAAACACCTGTAGTGCAATTTTTTCATATTTTCCTGTTGAAGATTGTCCCCCCTCCAGACATCCTCTTCAAATAACTGCTCTTCAACTCTTGTGAATCCGCGAGTGTTTTACGTTTTTCATTTTTTGTTTTGCAAAAGCGGATATCCGTTAAATCATTCTCTCTATTCCTACATCGCTGCTAAACGTGTAGTCTAAACACAAGAAAAAAAATAAAAACAAACCAACCAACCAAGAAGGAAAGCACGAAAGAAAAAAAAGAAAAAGTTCACAACGAAACCCCAGTGAAATAGTGGTGCTATTATCATTACCGATAGTTATTGAATAATCAGGCTGAGGCTCCCAGCTCTCTGAAACAATTTATGCGGATATTTATAATTTGCATGTTGGGGAAAATTGATCGTCGTCAAGAGACATCATCATCAACATCATCTTTGCTGTCGTCTAACTCAACAATAACAACAACCATCATTTTTCCGTTTACGTTCCTGTCATCCTCCACAATTCTGCTTACTGCTGATGTTCCTGTTCTGCCCGGCTTCCATGAAAGAATGTAAGTTTTCCACACCTCTTCATCTCTTTATCGATTCCCCCGACGTCGTTCCATCACCCTCCTCATCACATTGTGTTCACAATTTGTTATTCCTCACTATAACGGTACATTTCGATTAGAAGAATTTAATTTTTTTATGCAAATTTTCCGTTTCCATATAACAATAACAGCAACAACAACAACAACAAACCGCAAGGGCGGATATAAAAACCGTGTTGGCTGGCTTTATGGAAATTATATCGGAATTTTGTTTTCGTTTATTTTTCCAACGAATCAGAGAGCATTTCATTCTTTTATTGTCTCCATGCCTACATAGGTGTGAGTGTGAGTGCATGCATGCATGTGTATATTTGGTGTTATGAATCTCCATGGTTGTGTGTGAGTGTTTGTTTGTGAGTAGAATTTGAAATATTTATGGTGACATGGAATTGATGTCATATGTAAAATTGTTATGATTTGTCTATGAGTGTGTGTGTGTGCGTGCGTGTGTGTGTGTGTTTGACAGAGGATGTTATAAATCTTTTTCATGGCACAGCTATTTGGAGCATGGAGGCAGTTCTTGGCAATTATTAAGAAGATATTTAAGGTTAGGTTAAGTCCTTAATCAATGAAGAGAACTTTGTTGTAATATATGTTCGTAAAGTAAATTTCTATGGGGAGTAAAGATTGTAACAAGGAAAGAGGGATAAAAAACACTAGAGAGAGAGGCATTCTTTTATTAACAGAACTTTGATATTTTTATTAGCTTAGCAGAAAACATAGAAGAATATATTATTCTGATCACGCCAAAAAAGAATATAAACAGACAATTTGACTACAACAACTTTCCTTAATTCCCAGATGATATTTGAAGATACCGAAATATTCTAAAAAAAAATGAGAGGTCAAAAAAATTTTTTTTAATTATTTATTATTATTATTTTTTTATTTTATTTATTTATTTTTTTTTTTTTGAAAACCTTTATCCTAACTAGTTTTTTTATGTTACAACACTATGTGTTAGAGGTATTATTGTTTTTGGAGATGTTCGCACGTTATTTAGGTATTGAAATGGACCAAATTGGAAATAAAATTTTCCTGATTTTGCAGTTGCTCTATAGGCTACAATTATGAACCAATTGACGCGAAAATTTACATGGAGTTAGAGTTTAGGACTTGGCAGAAACTACAACTACTAATTTGGGCGGCCATCGGACAATAATTAGCGGGTAAAATAGACCCTAACTTTTATGTAGGAAAATTTCCACTATTTTTCACATTTCTCATCAATTCGGAATGGTCTCTTGCCAGAAAAGGATAAAATCTAAGAAAATAGCGGGAAAATATACAAATAATAATGTGAATATATTTTGTTCAATTTTTGTCAAATTTTTAATAGAATGCGATTTTTTCAAATTGACTTCCAATTTTAAATTGTAAATTTTTTGAATTTTTACACTCCGCAACACTACTTTTTCAGGGTATTATATGCATGTCGCAATTATCGTCCGATCCCCACGAAATTTTGCATGAGGGTAGAGTTAGGGTCAGAATTAAAGCCTGTTGGTTTTAAGATGTACATTTAGAGGTTCAAATGGACAAAAAAAAATTATTTTTTTTTTCTAATTTGGTAGTCGCTCTATAGGCCACAATTAAAAACTAATCGACACGGAATTTCGCATGAGAAGAGAGTTAAGGACAGGAAAGAAGTCTAGCATTTTGGAAGACCATTGCATTATATTTAGCTGTAAAATCGACCACAACTTTCGTGTGAAATTGTTTTGAATACTTAACAACACTACGGAATGCGTAAATATTGGCCAAATTCTCCGGGTCAAAAACCAAAGGGTAACCTCTGGGCAGAGCCCTTTGAAATTATTTCAAAAACGAAAACTTCCAAAATGGAGTTGGATATAAGGGGACTTGGAACATATTGTAGTGTTGGTCAATACCCATATAATAATTTAGTAGTTGAAATGCCGACGGCAACACGAATGTGTGTCCAATGTATGTGAGAGGGTTTCTCCAAACAAAAACAAGTTGTGTTTGATATATACTCTTAGTGTGACATCGTTTTATGGGCGAATTAACACAAGGTATCGACCAATATATTTTCAACTCTCTATGTTAAATTTATGATTTCTCATATTATTATATTTTTTTTTTTTTTGGATAGGTACCTGATCATCCAGAACATCCTTGTTTTTCAAAAACTTAAAGTTTATTTAGAATTTTGTTTGAGGGAATGATGCAATAGCGTCTACCATAAAACAAAATCTATATACGATACATTGCGATGTGCTATTTTTGACAACCTTCTGATGCCTCATTTTTTCATTCAGAGCTTCAAATAATTATTATTTTATGGCACGGATGTGGTTTACGTGATATTAAATTTTCCTGGTCCTATATAACCGGTTCGATTAAAAAAGAAATGGGCAATCACATAGTATAAAAAATCTTCAGTTAAATATATTTGGTGTAACCTCCACCGATTAGAAAAATTTTGAAAGTTGTAGACATTTTTTGAAGCCAAGTTAAATGTAATAGATTGTTTTGCAATTTCAATGGGCGTTTCAGGATTTCACGGAAAGGTGAAAAAACCAGAATTTAAATAAGTCTTGGCACGTAAAGGCCTTATATCCATTTTCAAATCAACTTACCTATAATTTGAGTGTTATAAGTGGCTTATAAGTTAACGTGGTCCAATATATTCTTTTTTAATATGCAAATTCCCTCTTGTATCATGTGAGCTCTTTCGTGATTTCAACAAATCATGATTTTTTTATTCTCCAAATAGTCGGTTTTAATTCCGTTTTTGTTGTTTCTTAAAAAACACGTTTATATGTAAGTGGAGAATAATATGTATACTTTATGGAATTCATGATATATATTTAGGAATGCCGAATTGAATATGCTCTCCATTCTGTGTTGAAAGGTACAATATAGTTCATTTTATACCCTCCACTATAGTATGGGGGGAATATTAAGTTTGTCATTCCGTTTGTAACACCTCAAAATATACATTTTCGATCCCACAAAGTATATATAAGCATAAAATTACCATGTCGATTTAGCGATGTCCGTCCGTCCATCTACGAAAATCACTCTAGCTTCCAAACAAAATGAAGTGGGTTGATAAAATTTTACTCAAATGTGTGTTTCGTCTGCATGACTTTTGGTATTGGAAATGGGCTATATAGGTCCACGTTTAGGTATAGCTCCCATGTAACTGTACCTGCCCATATTCGGTTTGTTGATGATCTTAGCGACATTGTTCAACGGAATTTTTTCAAATTTGGTAATGATAGTTCATAATAGGTACTACAGCCTGCGACAGAAGATTGCCTATGCAGGTCCAGGTTTCCATATGGTCCCCACGATGCCTCACTTTATTCGGTATTTTGTTGATTTCAGCGACATTTTTCGCGGGAATTGTTTCGTATTTGAAGTTTCTAATGGGTACTGCAGTCTACGCCAGAAAATTGTCTATGCAAGTCCAGGTCTTCGCAAATTCGGTATTTTGACGATTTAAGGTACAATATTAACCGGAATTGTTTGAAACTTTGTATTTGAAGTTCCTAATAGGTACTACAGCATGTGACAGAAAATTTTTTAAGCAGGTCCAGGTCTTCGTATAGCTCCGATATAACGGTACCCCTCTATATATTCGGTATTTTGATGATTTTAGCTACATTTTTCAACGGTATTGCATGCTAAAAATGCATACTAGAAGTTCTTCCTAAGCACTACACCCCCTAGAAGAAAAATGTCTGTATGGGTCCACGATAACGTATAGCCCACATACAACGGTACCCCCCCCCCCCCCCGCATTATTCACGGGAGTGGTTTCAAATTTCGAATTTAGAATTCGTAAAGGGGATTACATCCTATGTAAAAAAATTGCGTATGCAGGCCCCGTCTACGTATAGCCTCCATAAAACGGTACCTCCCTACATTCGGTATTTTGATGAATAATATAGCATTCACCGGATTTTTTTTTTTTAAGTTTCGTATTTGAATATTGTAATGGCTTATAACAAAAGTTGCCACTGCAGGTCTATGTCTTCGTATAAATCCTAATATAACGGCTATTTTCGGCATTTTTAAGATTTCAAAAGGATATTCAATGGAATTTATTTATTTTTTTTTTTTTTTTTTGAAATTTCCAAATTCGCTCCAAGTGTTGAAGGGTATTCTCGGCCGAACTTACTGATTTTTTACTTGCTTTGTTCATATACGCGGAAAATATGTAGATCGTATGACAAGGGAAAAAAGTATTTTCAATATTCTTAAGGTTTTGTTTAATCCAATCAAAATTTAAAAATCCTATTTTAAAAAAAATCCTGGCTGGTGTGGCGTGCCGCCGCGATGAGATGAAGATTGCATTGCAAATCAGACCCTTTCCATCCGCCAACCTGCCAGCCAAGGCAACTTAATATTGATGTTTATGGCAGTTTAATGTGATTTGTTTTAATTTACTTTGTTTGCCTTAAATTCTTAAATAGGGTGTAAATGAACATGGTTTTAAAATACTGAACTACAATTTAGCAAATCATTATTGCCTTAGTTTTTGTGCATTTTTGAAAGTCTCTTTTTTCTTCCACATTGCAGTTAACAATTTTATTTCCAAGTTAAATTGTATGTGTTTTTTTTTGCAAATTTATTTTGTGATGGAAACATCGTTTAGTATTTATTTAATATCACTATCATCAACATCAACAGCCGAAGCAACAGTAACAACAACAACAACGACAGCAGAAGCAAATAATAGCAAGCAATTATATCAACTGAAAAATGAAGAGTCTATTAAGTGGCGTTAATTGAAGTTTGGCGAATGTTATTTTAATATGTTTGCATTGGTGTTGTTGTTTTTGCTGCTGTCGTTGTTGTTGCTATTTCCATTTTTATTGTGTGTGCAAATTTGAATGTTTATGTTGATTTATATTGTTGTCATTTTTTGAAGAAGCCAACTGAACGTCTGATATTTTAACACTTAAATGAGGTAGAGGGGTTATTTC